ACCTGGTTTCTTTAACTTTCACTCAGGAGCAAAAAATCAGCCTTTAAACTTGACAGAAATAATGATTTGACATTTATTATTATAATTATTGATATCGAATGATATGAAGAATCTTATCATGATAACATATTTGGCCATATCGCCCAGCCCCAGTGTGAAGGGTTATTGAATGACCTGTCTGCTGAACAGAGCCTGTGTTTTCATCACTTGTTCTGTTATTACACCTCTCTGCCAATAATGTGGAGAATGTAGTACATTAGAGTATAGCTGCTTTATGTTTTTAGTGTGAGAATAATAATGTTACAGTCATCTCTTTCCCCTCGCAGACAGTCCCCTGCCCCTGTCTTCGCTGAGGCTCCTGGTTCCACCTCTGCGGGTGATGTCAGCTGTGATGTGGAAGGTGGTTCGTCTGAGGAACATCAAGCTTTATGGGAAAGTGGAGGAGTTTTTGTCCCTGGTAACTGAAGCCATCCCTGACATCTTGACAGAGAAACAGATGAGACTGCTCACTTTGGGTTTAAGAGCAAAGGTAAAAGATACAGATGCACTATATATAAAAACACTGTTGTCTGCAGATATAAGCTTTAAAAAGTGATATTTGTATCATGTCAAACCTATTTTTATTGCTGATATTTGTCCGATTGTAGAAGTGTGTACTGAAGATTCAACTGTATTGTCATTGAACACACCAAGTTTATTATCTCACTGGATAAAAACACTTACACATCATAATATGTATTTAAAGCATACATGTATTTAAAGCTTAACCAGATTTTTTTTTTTTAAATTTCGTAAGGGGTGAATGCCTGTTCTCTGCGTCATAACGCAAATTGCGTATTTAGGTTTTACAGTACTTCTTTCTTACAATACACTTTTGCTTTGTCTTGAAGATATTATCCATAATTCATTTGACTTTATCACGTGAATAAAATACTTCCTTGACCTGCTATAACTTAAAGCAACTAAAAACTGAAATCATTGACTTTCTGCACATTCAGACTTAAAGCAAAGATAATGGAGCATCTTGTGTCACATTGGTAGAGACTACTTCAGCTGGGAAAATGTATCAGAAGTGGTGTTTAAAGCCGTCTTCATTCTTTCTAAACTTCACTCAGTATTTTGATGTCAGGTATTGGATCTATTTTGACATTTTACATTTGTTTCCAGTGAAAGATTATTGAGTTTATATAGTGACTTTGCTGTTGTAAACTTTACTGTTGCTGCTCTAGAAACAACATCTAATGATATTTAAAATATTTAATTCTAATCCTTTACTGAATATAAAAACAACCAGGCAGCTAATATTGACGCTTCAGTATTTGTTTATTTATTGCTAGTCATATCAAAATCACGATATTGAACAGTTACATCGTACAGGCCTAGCTTGCTGTTTGATTATATTGTTTGCAGTTCTTGCCAATTGTTGTTTTCTTACTTGAAAACATGAAAAGGACTCTGCACAATGTTGCTCCCTTCAGTGCAATTTATTGGCACATCCAGTAGTGATAAGAGTTTTCTTACTTGTCAGTGACTTTTGCTTAATGGCTTTTCCAGATGACATTACAGATGTTACGTTCTGAACAGTCAGAGGATCTCAGAGATGTAAAAATGCACTTGAGCAGCCTCCTGCCACCTAGCTCAAAACAGGTGTGTGACCTATTGAGTCATGGATATTAAATGTTTGTGCTGTTAAGAAGCCTTCTGCTTATTTTTGATTTGTATATTCCCTTTGACAGGCTCATCCCAGAAGTGAAGCTCTTGAAGATAACTTTGTCAAGCTTGTTCAAAGACTCTTGGAGGACCCAAAAGGGAGAGAGCACTTCCTGAAGGTGTGTCTCTGCTTTTCATTGCTTGTTTAGACATGAAAAAGAGCTGTTTGTTTGATTGTTAAATTATGTAGTAACGTGAGGTTTTAAAGCTATGCTTTGGTTGAAATTGTCCACTTCACAGAATGTGTTTCCTGTGGAGTACGGGCCTGACTTTGATGCAGCTCTGGAGACACTGGTTTGTGAGTTCTTCACCAGACTGGAAGAGTTGCTGCTTATACCAGACTTTAAGCAGGTGAAGACAGCAACCTATGACATAAAATTGCAATTTACTGTGCATTTCCAGAGGTTGGTTGTCTGGTTTCAGTCCATCAAAATAATATTCTTTTTGTTTGTTTGTTTGTTTGTTTGTTTGATAAAGACGGAAGTATGGATCAGTGATACACCCTCTGTGCTAGAAGAGTACATGTGGTGTGTATCCAGCGCAGATGATCTCAAAGTACTGCTCAGAAGCAGGGCTAACTGTGGTAAAATGACTAAGATGGATACCAGTGGTAAGTCTGTCTGCCTGGGATACGAGCCAGGTGTGCTGAAACAATCGGTCAATTAACTGATGAGTCAATTAATTGTAGAGTGATTTATCAAACGCAAAAACATTTGCTATCAATAATTTAAATAATATTGACAGATTAATTGTTAATGATAACAAATATTATTTGCAGCCCCAGTGCAGATATATTACGACCACTTTGAAAGCAGCACCAGTAAATGGACAAAATTTAAATGGGTAATTCTCTCACCTTGTTGTCTCTTTTCAAACAGTGCCTTCTCACTCAGAGCAGCGGCTCTTCTCATCGTTATCTCTCCCTGCTTCACTGCGAGAGACTGGCAGCAAAGATGTGGAATATAACGCACAAACAATTGAAAACCTACCTGAGGGGCTTTCTCATCAGGAGGTGGGAGATATGGGGATACAGGATGCAAGATGGCCATCTGAGGATGAGGAAACACACCTTCTGGACAGCAGCAGTGCAGAACAAACAAGAGGAGAGAAATGCAGTGACAGCACTCCTGATGTTCACATTGTGGAGGAATATGATGATCGAGCTCCGGCCACCTGCCGAGCTCCGTCTACATCTACTGACACTCCTGTACTGTCCAGCTCTATGATTTGCCCTCCACGGCAGAGAGTTGCACACAAATGCACTCAGTGTGGAAAGTGCTTCATTTACCGCTACGAACTCCTGGAGCATCAGAGGCTGCACACCGGAGAAAACCCTTACAGGTGCTCTCAGTGCGGAAAGGCTTTTAGGAGGACCTCTGACCTGTCGTCTCACAGGAGGACACAGTGCATAAAAGCAGCTTATATTTGCATCAAATGTGGGAATAGCTTTCAGTCAATACAGGAGAAATTTAGACACCAGTGTGTTCACAGTGTCCAGAAGTTTGACTGTTCTCAGTGTGGAAAAAGCTTTAAGAAAATGCACTTGCTGGGCAAGCACGAGCTGACTCACACCCAGAACCGTATCTTCACATGCAGACAGTGTGGGAAGGTGTACCCCGGGATGAGTGAGCTGAGATCCCACCAGAAGATTCATCCCCCTGAACTGTCCAATCAGTGCATGCAGTGTGGGAAATTTTTCAGCTCTTCTGCCTGCTTGACCGCCCATGAGGTGCGCCACAGGCAACAGAGAACACAGATCTGTGCCCGTTGCGGCAAAGCCTTCAAGAACAAACATGACCTGAACCTTCACATGCGCAGTCACACAGGCGAGAGGCCGTTTCAGTGCACATACTGCGGGAAACGTTTCTCTGTGTCAGGAAACCTGAACATACACGTAAGAACCCACACCGGAGAGAAACCTTATCTGTGCTCTGACTGCGGCAAGGCTTTTATTTCAGCCGGCGAGCTGCAGATACACAGACGCACCCACACTGGGGAGAAGCCATACAAGTGCTCTGTATGTGGGAGAGGTTTCACCATGGCGAGCAAGGTGACACTTCATATGCGCGTTCACACCGGGGAGCGCCCTTATGTCTGCCCTGAGTGTGGAAAGGGTTTTTCACGTGGCAGCGAATTGAAAAAACATAGCATGAACCACACGGGGGTTCGACCCTACGCTTGTCAGCTGTGTGCAAAGACTTACACATGCCTCAATCACCTGAAGAGACACTTGAAAACTCACAGTGTAATCCAAAACCAGTCGGTCTAATTCCATCAATTAATGTATGGCTTGTAATTTTTTCCAAAAGAAACATTGTATTCATGCAGCTAGCCTGTACTGATTGTGGTGTTGTCTTTGTTCACTGTGTAATAGGTTTCACACTCACCCTCTTTTGTAAGGACTAGGTTGCAAAAGTTAACTTTGACTTTGTATCCTGCGTTGTCAGATCTGTTCTGATTGTATCCTCTAAAATCCTAGAAGTGCAGTTTTTGGGCCTGATATTTAAGTGTATGACTTTTGTTCTCTTAAACCATAAAACATATTTTCAAAGGTCTCCAAGAAGGCATTCAAAAATACAATAAATCCCAACTGGTCTATGGAAGTGTCTTATTTGTTTGTTCAGAATCAGGTTTATTGCCACGTACATTTTCACAAATGAGGAATTTGCCTTGGTATATAATGGTGCCAGTACACGTAAATATAAATACAGAAAAAGTAGAGATCAAAAATGTGCAAGTATACAAAATAAAACTATAATACTAATAGTTAAATGCTATACACACACACACACACACACACAGGGTAATTAACAAGGAATTCACAATATATTAGCAATAAAGAATTGGTGCAGTGTACACAGTTGAAGTTATGCTTGAATCTAACATGAAACATCCTGCTGTGGTTTTCCACAATATTCTGTTTGTGATCTCTAAACATAACAAATTGGAAAACTAAAAGAAATGCACTTAGAAATCAAGCTTCTGATTGGGTTTCTGTATAGATTTTATTCAAAGCAAAATAGTTTCAGTTACTCATATTTTTAAATGTAGTTTAAACAAATAGTTATTCAAAACATTGTACCATAAAATATCTAGTTAACTTTTTAGACATTCAAAATCGCGAAAGAAAGTAAGAAAATATAGTTCATGAAGTGTAAACGTTGCTTTTTAAGATTACGTTATTTGATTGTCCGGAGAGGCGGTGCTAATCATTTAAGAAAGTCGAGTGAATGGGAATCGCCGCATCCGGGCTGCCCCGTAAAGCAAAACGAACCTCGCTGTTACAAACTGGCACTGACTGGGCCAACCAACGCTCCCCAGAATGAATAACGTGTTTCAGGAAGAAGTTGGCGCCTGAGGCCCCGTATGCGGTTAGCTAGCCCGCTAACCGAAAGTATGAAAGCGTTTTCACTGTAATGCTTTTACCTTCTCGTCATTATTAAATAATTCCACAATGAACGACATGGGTATGTATACGCTCGCAAACCTCGGCTAACGGTGTATTTTTCGGTTCTTAAGCGGCTAGTCGGATAGCTGAAGCTAAGGATTAGCCGAGGCTCAACAGGCCTCGACTAATCCCTGGAACAAGAATTGTTTCCCCACAATAATAGACCGGTTTTACCTGGCAACATCAGCGGCCCTGTGGCTAGTCTGGTAACGTTAAAGCCGACGCTTTACCTTGAGCACAAACAGAAACAATTGCTGGTGTTTAAAATCGTTTTTCTACGGTCTGAAACGTTTTTAACATGTTTCTAACGCTACACAACTGCTTGTTTTTTTTTACTGAAAGTTAACTTATAGCAAGAAGAAACAGGTTAATTAGAAACATAGCGACTAAAGACAACGTTTAGTTAACGTTATGTGTTTGTGAACGTCAACGCACCATCAGTAAAATGGCTACTCACTGCATTATGAAAACATTGAATGTGTGTTTAACATTACAGGACTATTGCAGCATTTAAAGCTGTAAACATGCAGTGAGAATGCACACAAGTCTTGAGATAACTGCACCCTACAGTGCTGCTTCACACCGTAGATAGTGTCCATTGTAGGGATGGACACTAGAGGAAAACGTAAAGTAACCGTGCTGAGATGCTTTGTAGTTACTGATGAGCAAACGCGTTTTCAATCTCCCATTAACAATGTTCCCCTTCCTCCTAAAAATAAATCATATTTGTTAAAGACCTATCATAAATAACTATTTGCATTAAATGCAATCTCTAAAACATCTCAGCATATTAACATTATAAGTGAACTCTGGGTATAATGTCACAATGGTTACAGGGTTAAAACAATTCTGGTAAAATATGCAAATGGATGGTAGATTTATTTCACTCATCAGACAAAAAAAAAAAAGGTAATCTGTTGAGTGGCTGGTACACTTGAGCATTCACTAACCCTGTTTACAGTGTACAAGGTTTCCATTTTACTCTTAAGTGTGTTTGACCCAGTCTCATTTCTCTTTGAAGAATTCAGCGTCCCCCTGTCCTCGCTGGCACTCCTGGTCCCACCACTAAGGCTGATGTCGGCAGTGATGTGGGAAGTGGTACGCCAGCGAAACATAAAGCACTATGGGAAACTGGAGGAGTTTGTGTCTATGGTAACAGATGCAGTGCCTGAACTGATGAGCAAAAGAGAAGGGAGGCTGCTCTCACTGGGGCTGAGAGCAAGGGTAAGTGTTTAGACACTGTCGAGGTCCGTCATGTGTATAATGAGAGCTCAAGTAAGAGACCCAACAGAAAAGGTTTCATGGAAACATTAAACTCATGAATTAAATTTCCTCTAGACAACTCTTGAACTGTTGCGTTCTGAACACCCTGAAGATCTCAAGGCTGTTGAGACCCACCTCAACCGAATCCGATCTTGCATTGAGGAGGTGAGTAATTTTAGTAATTGGTTTTAGAACTGAAATGATCCACTAACCTTTTAATTGATCAGCAGCTAAATTGTAAAGCAATAAATACCAGTTCATAGAGTTTTACAATGAATCGATATCTTATCGATCAAATATTAAATATTGTTGTGCTGCAGAGATGTCCTGGCCTACATGTCTGACTTAGGACAACACATTTGTCTGGTACAAATCACTCCATAATGATCTGAATAGGGTTTTTTAATGAAAATGAGAATAATGATGTAAAAATTATCATTCCCTCGAATATAGCAAATCATATCAGTCAAAATAATCGCAATTAGATATTTTTTCAAAATTATTCAGTCCTAGTTCCAACCTCTCTTTGCTGCTTCTTTTTGTCTTATGTGATAGTAAATTGTATCTAATTGAGTTCTTGGTTGTTGTTTGGACAAAACAAGCAATCTGAAGACCAGGGCCCCATTTCAGAAAGCAGGATTAGTGAAAACTCTGAGTATATTAAGAATGAGATGAAGAAATCTCTGGATTATCTGTTTCAGAGACTGAAATCAGAGGAACCTTAACTTAACTTAATTTAAGGTAACTTAAGCTGTGAACTTAACCTCCTCAGGAGGTGGTTTTCTCTGACTCCTCCCATCCTGCGCAGCCTGAAGCAGCTGTCTGACACACCGTTTCATTTCCTCATTTATACAATCAATATCAAACCACATACTGAATACATTCATTTGCAGATGTTTACATCTTTAAAAACATCGAGCCTATCAAAATCCCAGTTGGATATTAGTTCGTTAGCCAAACATGATCTTTAACATGACTGCTTCTATGATCAATCTGTCATCGATAAGGACAGAGACAGCAATCTCTGGACATCTGAAAATAATATTTATATTATTAATGAATAAATGAAATAAAATTTAAAAGGATAGAGTAAGATCTCCCGACATCTTGGATTCATCCTCAGCTCAGAATAAAATCTGTAGGCTGCACTGTGCCTCTTTATAACTCTGACTCTGTGGACATTAAAACAGCTGTCAGCTTGGCAACAGTTGCACTGAAACATTTACCGTGCTCTACATTACTGCAGAAATCCCTGTTTAAATCAAACTAATCTGTATGAAGCTGTAACTGATCAATAAACAGTCATCTGTCATATTGTGATTAGTCGCACTGATGGAACATTCCTATCATAGTTATCATGATGCGAATATTTCTGAGTGAGGATGATTGTGATCAGGAAGAAGTATTCAGATCATCTTCTATAAGGTCTTCATGTTTTGCTTCGCTGTCCTTTGAGAACCACATATTGTGTCTCTAAAAAATCAACTTTTTATGAACAGTCCTCTTTCCAGCTGATCTAAGGTTGTTTTTAATAGTTTATTTAGATTAACAAGTTGGATAGTTTTCAAGGCTTCATCCTTCAGTTTATCAGAAAAACTCTTAATTTAAAATCATCATGTTTGCAGATAAATGGTTTCCACTATACAGGAAAGGTATGAAAGATTGAAATCTAAAAAGTAACTAGCAGATAAAGCTGTCAGACAAATGTACTGGAGTAAAAAGTAAAATATTCTAAGATGTAGTGGAGTCGAAGTATAAAGTAACAAAATGAAAGTACTCAAGTAAAGTACAAGTACCTCAAATATGTACTTAGGTACAGTACTTGAGTAAATGTACTTGGTTACATTCCACCACTGATTGTGGTGCAGCTGAAATCACTAAATGTAGTTTAAAAAAGTTTTTAAGTATTTGTTACATATACTCTTGTTGTGTTTTGACAGTATTCCATTAAATGCAAAATGAACACAGTTTTTAATTGTTAAATAGTTGTCTAAAAATGTTCCCACGTGTCCTGGAAAACCTGGAAAACAGTTGACCAATTTTCCAGTCTTGGGAAAACACATGAGTTAAATGTCCTGGAAAATTATTTTAACATTAGATTGCACGGTTATGTTGCGTCAGCGTTGTAAACACCCCACCCCCGACTCACATCACATGGTAGCACAGGTTGACAGTAATGTAAGTTGCATTATCCTCCAAAGGTAAATATTAGTCGCTCCTGGCTGATAAGTGTGGTAGTGACATCTACCAATGTGTCCCTGAGCAAGACACTTAACCCCTAGTTGCTCCACAGACCTCTGACAAATATAGCAATTGTAAGTCGTTTTGGATGATAATTATTGAAACGGGGGCTCATTTTTTACTATTTTCTTGACAAAGCACATTTTATTAAACAAGAAAATAATCAGCAGATTGGTTGTTTTTTATTTTATTCATGATATCTAATTTGCCTAAAATCATGTGACGGCTGTGTTTTTGTTTTCTGACCCAGACAAATGATCCCGTGATTGAAGCACCAGAGGCAAACTTTATGAAGCTGGTGCAAGGCCTCATTGAAGACACAGACGGCAGAGAACACTTCCTCAAGGTAAAATTAATATTTAATGCCGTGTATATGTTGCAGTAAATAATATGATCTGCCACATTTCAGATGTTAAATATTAAATTAATATTTCTTCCTCACAATTTTACTTTACATTTAATTTCTCACTTTTTGTTGACATTGACTTATCATTAAGGATGACTCCATGTGCTGAAGATGTGTGGTTGTTTTTATTTTTCCTCTCCGGCAGAATGTGTTTCCGGTGGAGTATGGCCCGGACTTCGACACAGCACTGGAGACGCTGGTTTGTGAATTCTTCACCAGACTGGAGGAGCTGCTGCCAATACCAGATTTCAAACAGGTGCGCAGAGGGTTTCTGAAAGATTAGAATATAAAGTCAATTAATAAGAGCACTTTCAACTTGAAGTTCAAAATGTCTACTGTTTTTGTGCCTTTTGTGTAGACTGCATCCTGGATCAGTGCTGCCCCCTCTGTCCTAGAGGAGTACATGCAGTGTGTCTCAAACGGAGATGACCTTAAATTTCTTCTTCAAAGCAAACAGTGCCACGGGAAATTGGCTAAGAGTAGTGTTGGTATGTGCACAATTTACATTTGCTACAGACTAGTTAACCTATAATGTATTAGTTGTAGAAGAGAGAGACTGTTGTATTTACACATTGTTGTTATAATAATGTTCTCTTCATATTTTCCCTGTAGCTCCATTTCACTCAGACGATCTTCTCATTCCCTCTCTGTGTCTCCCTCCATCGCTGGAAGTGGCCATCGCGTCCCACCCGAGTGCTTGTGATGAAAATAATGACGTTCCTCAGATTGTCATGTTCGACGAAGAGCTGTCTACAAACCCTTCCACCTCAACCGACTTTCCTGAATCACCAAAAAGGACAGACATCTCGTCATCTCCTCGCAGGAGGCAGCAGTCAGGGGTGCATAAATGCCCGGAGTGTGACAAATGTTTCAAGCATCACTCTGTCCTCATCGAACACCAGAGAGTCCACAGTGGGCTGCTGCCTTACAACTGCTCTGAGTGTGGGAGGGCTTTCAGAACAGCCACTCTGCTGGCCGGTCACAGGCTACGGAAATGCAAAAATGCTGCATATCTGTGCATTAAATGTGGGAACAGTTTTCCAACCTCACTGGACAAATTTAGACACCACTGCCCAAAACGGGGCCGTAACTATGATTGTGGGCACTGTGGAAAGAGTTTTCAAAAGTCCAGTAGCTTAAAGGAACACCTGCTAACTCATGTCCAAAGCCGCCTTTTCAAGTGCAGTCATTGTGGGGTAGGTTTTTCAGGAATTGGTGACCTGAAGTATCATCAGCAGGTAGATCATGATAAGCCTCATCAGTGTAAGCAATGTGGAAAGAGCTTCATCTCCTCCAAGTGTCTGGCCAAACATCAACAACGGCACGAAGAGGTCGGTGAAATGGAGTCTGCCAAAGTAATGAGTGGAGGTAAACACAGGAAGAGTGGCTCCGCTCATCGGACGTCCTCGACATCGTTGTCCTCCAGGAAAACATCTGTCAAAAGTCTCTACCCACGAGGACGCGTCACACACAACTGTCCACTGTGTGGTAGGAGCTTTAAGTATCGGTTTGAATTCCTTGAACACCAGCGGTTCCACACTGCGGTGAAGCCTTACAAATGCTCCCAGTGTGGTAAAGCGTTCCGCACAGAAGCTCACCTGTCCGGCCACAGGAAGAGAAAGTGTAAAAACGCTGCACACATTTGCACCAAGTGTGGGTGTCAGTTCAGGTCTCTACATGAGCGGGTCAGGCATCAGTGTGTCCAGCTGCTGACAAAATATGAGTGTTCTCATTGTGGAAAGACCTTCAAGATGGCCCACCTGCTAAGGAACCATCAAATGAGTGACCACCAGCTCCCATACAGCCCCAACCATCGCTTCAGGTGCAGATACTGTGATGAGACTTTCCCTGGCATCAGCGAACTGAAGTACCATCAGAGAGTTGACCATGAGAAACCTTATCAGTGTCAGGAATGTGGCAAGTGTTTCCTGTCTGAAAAATGCCTGGCCAATCACGAGCTGCGACACAACGATGACCGACCAGAGAGCTGTCTCGTCTGTGGCCGCGGCTTCAGGAACCGCTACGACTTGAAGCAGCACATGCGCACTCACACAGGAGAACGACCTTACCAGTGCACTCACTGTTCACAGTGTTTCTCCACAGCAGGAGGACTGAGGAGTCACACCAGGGTTCACACCGGCGAGAAGCCGCATGTTTGCCCAGATTGCGGCAAGGCTTTCTCCCAGATGGGCGCCATGCGCACCCACAGGCTCACCCACACAGGAGAAAGGCCATTCAAGTGCACAGTGTGTGGAAAAGGTTTTACAATGGCACACAAGGTAACTGTTCACATGCGTGTGCACACAGGAGAGCGGCCATACGTGTGCACTCAGTGTGGGAAAGCCTTCTCAGATGGAAGTGTGCTGAAGCAGCACATGCTGAACCACTCAGGGGTGAGACCGTACCACTGCCAAATCTGTCCCAAGACCTACACCTGTCTGAACCACCTGAGGAGGCACCTGAAAAGCCACTCCAACATGAACTGAGTCAGGCTTGAAGGCAAACTGGAGCAGAATCTTGAATAACATTTTACACATATACTGAGACACTGCGTTTAGCAGAATAGTTACTAAAATTGCAATGGGCCAATTAAAACAAGCAATATGTGAAGGAATATAGGATGATGTTGTACAGTAGCTGTTGAAATTGAGGTAAAAGTTCAATTTCCTCTTGACTATAAAGTAAATGTAGTCACATTAGCAGTTTGTCAAGGAATATGTGTACATTTAAAGGAATGGTTTGACATTTTGGGAATTGATACCACTCTAATTTCTGCCTGTGAATAAGCAGGAACGAGGAGACGGTTAGCTTAGCACAAAGACTGGAAGCTGACCTAGCCTAGTGCCAGGCCTGGTACAAATATAACAAGTTGTTTTTACACTATAGCTTTTGTATGGATTAAACAAAACATGTTAATTATTGATCTTAAGAGGTGCTAGTAGGTGTATTTTTTCTTTTTTTTTGCTTCAAGTCTTTACATTAAGCTAAGCTAATTGGTTGTTGGCTGCAGCTTCATGTTAAACAGACTGAAATGAAACCTGTAATAAACCTTCTCATTTAATTCTCAGCAAGAAACTGAATTGCACAAAATGTGTAACCATTCCTTTAACATCTCCACACGCAAATAGTCCATTCTTTTCTCATTTCCTCATTTCTGACCTGTCTATTCCTTGAGCTTTTTTTTCTTCCAGCTTTTCAGTTTCTTATGCATGAATATGTTTGGATGTTATTCTGAATATTATTTGGGTAAGACAACGATGTTCAGAAGCGGTAATATTTGTGAAAATATATTTTTGGAAAGGCCTCAAAACGAATAGACTCTCTGTAAATATGCTGAAAGACAAATATTGTGAGAGTGCAAAGTTAAAATTATGACTGTTTATTTCAACATTATTCCTCTAGGCCTTTTCTATGCCCCACTAGGGATTGTAAAGTTTCTGAATTTCCAATTAAATTACCTTCGTTATACTTTGTGCACGTTGATTGAATTTATTTAGCAGAGAAAAACATCTGCATCTGTTGTCAGAAAAAGTGTAGATGGTATTGAAAGTTACATTTGCTGAGAATAAAAAAAGGTTTCACTAGATGGCAGCAGGTGACCATTAACACCCCCCCACACACACCCACACCCACCCACCCTTGTGACCAGAGGTATTCAAATTAATATGGAGTCGATCAGATATTATGTGCTTTATTGCAGACTGAAGCAACTGGAAACTAATCAAATGTTGAGAAGACTTATTGTACTAATGCAGCAGAAGTTCATCAGGCCCACTTGCCATTGTCATTAACTCTGTTTGGCGTGGTTATTAGCCTACACTTTCCTGATGTTTTGACTGTCACCTAACAGTATCTGAAGTGGTTTAAACCATGATATGGAGAGTTGCTCACTGTTAGTTTGGTTTCTATGTAGCCACTTTAGCCCAGTTAAGTTAACAGTAAAGCATGATCTGGATCTCCGCTCTTCCCAGTACCTTGTATGTTAACTTGGACCTCAAGCAGATTACGTCTTGTATTGTAACAGGCACGTTGTGATAATATCTTCCATGTGTGCACACTGATTTTATGTTTTTTCCTTGAAAAGAGATGTTATTTTTCCTCTGAATTTCTCCCTTGTTCCATGCTTATGTTTCATCTGATCTGTGGTTACTTTTTTATTATAATTAGCCTTTGATTTATATCTCTCAAACAACCAATCTCTGCAATTCACAGGAAGATCAGCCCCAAAGATGAATGTGGTGGTGTGTTAAACGTTGCAAGATGGCTGGAGACACTGGCCCTACTCAGCACTATTCCTTCTTTCTCTCTGACTCAGAAATGCTACTAATCTTCCCCACTGAACATCAGGATCCTGTGGAAACTCGTGCTACATCCTGTCTGCCAACAGGCTGTGCCCAAGACATTATGCAGAAGCTTTCAGCATTAGGAAGCATGTGTGTTTTTGCATTTCTTTCTGCATGTAATGGAGCTTTATCTTGACCTTTTGAGGTCATACCCTGTCTTTGTTTTGTATGGTTAGTGACCTGAGATAATTAAGTTAACTCAGTCCCACCTGTCGGTTTCATTACTGTAAAAAGACAAAAAACAAAAGAAAACTGAAAACACCCCTAACTGCTTGCCTAATGAATTCCTCAAGACTTTTATAGGATAATGTATTCCCGATGAAGGCTGGTATTGAGACATCTTGAAATGCATGCATTACAATTTATACACACGCCCACAGCTGTCAAAAATCCAACAGATTTACTATGAGAGCCTGCTAATAAACACAGATCATTACCAGATGATCCCCTCTCCTCGCCCTCCCTTTCTTCCTTCTTTCCTTTCCTTCCTTCCCTCCCTGCTTCTCCACGCAACGTTTTCTCCCTGGAAGAGTGATCTCAGTGGAAAATCTGAGTCCAGGCCAGACCTTCCCTGCAGTCCCACGGTTTGCGCATACACACACACACACACACACACACACACACAAACACGTGTGTCCACAGCAACCGTGCACCATCCACCCCATCAACACCTTGCCAGATGAACACTCCACGCCTACACCTCTCTGCCTCCTTCCAAGGAAGTGCCTCACTGCACCCTGAAACTCTTTCCAAAGTCCTCCCCAACATCTGTCCACAAGGAGCACTTTGCAGCACTAGATGGCACTGTGTCTCTGCCTGCTTCAGAGGAAAAAGGGGAGTAAAGATCTCCCCCTCCTCTTGCTTTTATGTTCAGGTCAGGTCTGGACGCCTAAGTGAACCAGATGTAGGCGAAATCCTCCCACCCCCATCTTCCACAGAAATTTTACTGAAAGAGAATAGAAAATTTGTCCAAGATGTGCATCAGCTGCTTTTCATTAAGTTTGATGAAATTATTCCAGTGTACATCTATTCACGGTTACATTTCTTGACTTTCTACATGGCATTAGTTAGATAGGGTCCTATATCTATAATAGTGGAAAGGAAAGCTAAAAAGCTCTTTTTGATTTTTCATTATACATGTTCTGAAACCATTACAACATAACAAATCAATTAATACCCATGCACTCTTTCCTGCAAAATAAAAAATACGAAAGCTGTGCTCTTCGGATCCTCCTTCACAGTCAGCAAGTTTATTGTTTATTCTGTGTCCCTCGGGGCCCCTTTTAAGGAAGCAGCCATATCTGGGATTTTGTGTAAACTTAAGGCCCGAGCGCGTTCAAGACTATCAATCGTCCACAGAGAAAGCGCGTGAGCGCTTCCTCCTCCTCCTCCTCCTCCCTCGTCGTGCGCATGGTCCTCCTCAGCGCGCTCTGGGTTTCGCCTCGGACAAACTGTGGCGGAGCGCTGGATCACCAAAAGTTCGCCGGATCGGTTTAGTGGTTCGGCTCGGGGCAGGAGTGATTCGGTGTTTGTTTTTTGTCGGGGGATTGGGGTTTTGTCTTTTTTAGTTTTTAATTTTTTTGCAGTTTAACCATGGAGATTCTTAGAGGTCTCCTTGCGTTGCTGTGCGTTGTTCTGGCCGGAGCGCAAACGCAGATCCAAAGAAACAGACTGGCGGGTAAGTTTACTGAAATGTGTTGTACTTTCCAATTAAATGTTGTAATTTCTGGTGTGTATGGCGCTATGTTGCATAAAAAGTTTTCTTTCTGTGTTATAATCTAGTGTGTCATACACCGAAGTGATTTTTCCTGCAAGAGCTAGTCCAGATGTTCATTGTCTTTGGACTACATATTTCCCATCAGTCTGAGAAGCCTTACAAATCAGCAGTAGAGATGGAATAGCAACTGAAAGGAAGATCAGAGGATAACAGTAGCCTAGCCCATTTTGAGCAGGCCCTTGTTTGGTGCCACAGTTGTCTTAGTGGGCCTAAGTAGACGTTGGGTGTAATGCAAACATTAGATCTGCTTTAGATGCCAGAGTGATAACATGAGAAGAACCAAAGCAGGTGATGGCACCTCAGGCCTGCTTCCCTGCCAAGGTGCTGTACAACAGTGATACAGGTGTATACAGGTGAATACAGGTGTATATATAGAGCCCTGTTATGGGTGCAGACAGTCAGTACAGACCTGCACCTGTCATAAATCTAACTGTGTAAAGATGGATATATCAGTTAGATCAGCCCCATGACACCCACTGTGATGCAGGGTGCAGCATCATCTTGGCCTGATGTAGGCCCCCAGTGCTGCAGTAGTGCTGACATCATTTGAACTGATGGGTGAATGATCGTAAATGCATTTTGGATTTACTAGTTCCTGAACATATAGATTTGAATGTGCCATTTGGCTGTTTTATGGTTGTTCAGTGGAAGCTATTCGCTGACGGCCATCTTTGTTTTGTTTTTTTTGAGCAGATTGCCCTGTTGACCTTTTCTTTGTACTCGATACATCGGAGAGTGTCGCCCTCAGACAGAAACCTCCCAACTTTTATATTGACCAGATCAAAGAATTCACCAATCGCTTCATAGATGAACTCAAGGATATGTAAGACACACACACACACACACACACACACACACACACAGACACACACACACAGACACACACACACCGTTTCTGCTGTAATGGAAGAAGCATTCACATCCTTTACTTGTAAAAGCAGCAATAGCACAGGGTAAAGATACTCCATTCTCTAAGTCCTGCATTCAACATCTTATTTAAAGAGTAACACCCCCAGTGGTTTAACTTCTCACCTTGCTGTGGTGATGTAAAGGTGTACTATAGGACACTGTGACATCACTGTTTGGGGTTACATGTGTAATACAGCACACTTTTGACCACACCCAATCATACCCATCACTGATGGAAACTTCAAGTTACTCTTTTAGTAAAAGTGCAGAAGTATGATAAGCAAAATGTTAAAGTATCAAAAGTTTTTGATAGTCAGCAGAACCGCTCCTGTCAGTGACACAATATTATGACGCTAGTGCTACTACTACTACAACTGCTGCTATGACTACTTTATATACTTGGTAGTTTCATCTATACTAATGCATCATTTTTTAACTGGTCGTCACAGGTTTATTTGTGCAAAATCAGCAAATGAACTTGTAACTGAAGCTGTCTGATATATTGACAATATTTGTCATATAATGTAGTGGAGTAGAAATATAAAGTAGCATAACATGGAAATACTCAAGTAAAGTACCTCAAATCTGTACTTAAGAGCAGTACTTAGGTGAGTGTAATTACTTACATTACACCACTGCCTATTTATCTAGGCGTCAACGATGTGACCGCATGCTGACATGGAACTCAGGAGCACTGCACTACAGTGACGAAATCATCCTTGTGCGAGAGCTGAGTGACATGAGCACTGAACGCCAGGCCCTGAAGAATGACATCAATACCATCAAATACATCGGCAAGGGCACATATACTGACTGTGCCATCAAGAGGGGTCTTGCTGAGCTGCTCATTGGGTAAAAATAACACCCACACATACACATTTAACAGACTGTGTGAAAATAAGAGAAGAAGAGATATAATTTCAGAGTGTGTGTTTGTGATGTCTGCCTGCATTCAGGGGTTCCCACTACCATGAGAACAAGTACATCGTGGTAGTGACTGATGGCCATCCCATCACTGGTTACAAAGAGCCATGTGGAGGCGTGCAGGAGGCTGCTAATGAAGCCAAGCAACATGGAGTCAAAGTTTTTGCTGTTGCCATCTCACCTGACCAGGAGGTACAACACACACACACACACACACACACACACACACACACACACACATACTTGTACTGGTGAGGACCCTCATTAGCATAACACATTTCCCAGCCCCTAACTCAAAGCTTAATCACCACAACTAAATGCATAACCATAATCCTTACCCCAGTATTATATGAATAAAAGTTAAAGACACAAACTATTTTCTTCAATCAGCTTCTTACCATGAGGGGCTTTAAGACTTTTTCAATAAATCTTAATATAATATTTACTTACTGTACAATGAACTACATATTGGTCTCTGTCCATAATGGCTGTGAAGTGAAAGCGAAGCAAATTTA